ATTCCCATTACAATAACTGTGGGTAAGAAAATTACTAATCATAAAATTCAGTGGCGGATTCAACGGGGGAAGCCATACCATTTCCCACCCACATAAATGTTTCACAATTTGAAAATAGTGGAGATAATTATGTTAATATCTATAGTACATGATACAAATTTGTTATATATATTTTGTAAGAATGAACACAAAATGTTAACCTACAGTAAACCAACAGTATGGCTAAGGCCCGGCACCTTAGACTACACTACACTATTCATCCACCTACCTAACTGCATCGGATTGCTTCATACGATGCTGTCCGAGTTGGACTTAACAAGTATCACAAATGACAGTTTCACAATTTATAATGAAGAACCATCCTTAATTTTTTTTTTAACATTGATTTTCCATTACATATGACTGTGGGTGGGAATACCAACCATAATAACATAAGAATTATAATAGGCCTATCTACTCAAAATTTCTGATTTCAAATTACAGCAAACGGATGCACGTCTATCCCTTTAATTGCCTATAGACTAGTGGAATAGCCAACCTATATTTCTTTGTAATGCAAGCACAGAATTTCCCAAATGCAATAATCATTATTATCCAATCTTTTAAATTTCATATTTCATTTCATGAAAATAAAATCTTATATAATAAAAATTGTTTAAACTTTCATAACAAATAAATATTATTGGGATTAAAAATCACACACCTTCAATTTAGTAAAAACCTCAAATACTGTGATTATGTGTTCTCGTTAGATATTTTAATTGGTTTTTTTTTTGTGACTACACAGTAGTTAGTTTTATTGTGTACTTATTCCACTAAAATTACACCCCCTCCCCCCTCCAAATGATCCCTCAAATTAAGTGTTTTATAGCTCAGACAAGACTTTTTTTATATCTTGTTTAGCAAACCTGTTGCCCGCAAATGACGATTTCAATAAAAACAAAATTTTTTTTTGCCCAATTTGCTGCCACCAACAAATGGAAATTTCAGAAAAAAACAAAAAGATTTTCTTTATTTTTATTACGCCTGTCACTGCCTTATGTATATTTCTTCCTAATTAAATAAATTTAAAGCATTTAACCAACCCATTACTACACTGATTACATTCACCAATAATATAATTTTATTTTTATTTTCTCCTCATTTGGATGTTTTTGGCAGAACCATTTGCTAAATAAGAAAATAAATAATTTTTTTTTAAAATTTTTTTTAGCCCTCCTCCGACAATCTTTAAAAAAATAAGTTTGCGAAACAAGGTATTAATAAAATCTCGCCGCTAACTATCATTTTCAATATGGTATGCCTACTGTAATACTACTGTAGGCAGAGGACTAACTGCTCAAGTGCTGATGATACAGTGTAAATTCCTCAAACATTACCCATACAGTAGTCATTCTATTACATAATCAATATCATCATCAATAGAACATAACTACTGTACAGCTGCTCACGATGCCTACTGTACAAATGTTAATATTAAATAATCCATATTTTCTACATCACCTAAAGTCTATTACCAGTAGACGTATTACATTCAATGTGTATTATAAAAGGAATATTGAGTCTTCATATGCTTTCCTTAAAATATTAATTCTACTTCTTATCGTTACCATATAAATCACTAATTATAATTATCCTTATTTTAATACTCATTATTTGCAGGCAGTCATAACACATTTTATGTGTAGAAAATATTCAATACTCCTAAACATGAATCTGACTGTTACAAATATTTGCATTAGACTACGGATGATTACATTTTCATAATTAAGAAACCTCTAATTTCATAAGACATGGTCAAACGCTTAACACATACACTGTATATATACTGTAGTACAAATCCTAGATGTTTTTTTACTGTATCCAACTAAACTACAGTATACTTGCTTAGAAGCCTTGTTGACGTTAAGAACTATATAAGTCTAACGTATTATTATTATTATTACTTCAGACCCTCTTGGTGGCAGACCCCAGGGGTGGAAAAGCACATGAAACAGCCAAAAAATCACTAACCAAATATGAAATCATTTAGATAGGAGATAAAAATTACTAAAAATCTGAAGATTCCAGGGAGTAAGCCCCTGTATCGTGTACTGTAAGGAAACATCCCAAAACCTATCTTTATCTAACTATTCATTTCCCCCTTTCGGACCTTACGTCCTAAACTGCCATTTAGGCCCAGTGACATATCTAGGGTGCCCAAAGGACAATATTTATACCCAATCCCCCTTGAAAATGATCAAAGGAAATAATCATGCTTAAGTTTAAAATCACCTTATTTTGTGAGCTAGCAATGCACCCACTCACATAATTTATATTTTAGTATTTTATTCAAACATCCAACAGTCTTTTTAAAATATTTGTTTTATGAGGATGCACCGTTAACTTCAAACATGTGCCACTGATCTGAAGGTATATAATTCTAATAAATAAACAATATGTATATAACTCCCACAAATAAATGAATCATCAAGTCCCCACTTTACCTTCACACACCATTACCCCCACACCTACCCCCTCTAATTGGGCAACCCTGGCAAAAAAATTCTGGATCCATACTTGTCTCTGCAAAAGTCAGAGTAAATAAAACTTCTTCCCACAAGATTTTTGAAATATTTTTCAATACTCAGTATACATTTATTTTTTTTCCAAACCCTTTTCTATATATATTTTCCATGTTTCTGTGTTTTACATGGGTTACCTGTCATACAAAGAATTGTTCACCTTATGCCTTGCATTTCAAAAGTCAACTGAACTACTGTATCTTGAACCACGAATCACGACCGACTTTAAATCCACCCACTCTTTTGCATCAATCTCAACGAAAAATAATCTAAATGACACACATCACATGATGGTACTTGTTAGAATATCATTTACTGTAGGTGTTTTACAAATGTCACAGAAACCTACCTGTTTAAAACAACCTGCGGCATCTATATTGGTGTCTGAGTCTGCTACATACTATTATCATTGCGGTAGCCTTTCATTTAAGAAATCAGCATTTATGAATTGTTTTAACGTGCATAACGTGGGTATTGGGTGGTGGGAGGGGGGGTAAAGGTAATAATTCTTTTGGTTAGTAACTATGACCCGGTGTGATACCCTCCCCACCCCCTCACAATATAGAAAACAATACAACATATCTTAACGGAATATTTTACAGTGGCCTACTACACGTGTGTTTAAAAAACCAAATATAAGCATTTTCATTGGTTTTATTTATTACAACCATATTCTTTCACCATAAATACACATGCAAATAATTTATTGTAGTTTTCTTTCACATTTTAGAATGGACCAGTGAGGCCCATCTTTTATGGTAAAACAATCTTAAATTTTCTTTCTCTTTCAGTTGGAACTATTATTATGTGTTCAATTACCTTAGAACCAGTTGGAGCAAGGGGAAAAGATGTCTGTGGAAAATCATTACCCCCTCTCCCTTCCACCCTCTGGGAAAATTGAGAAGAGGAAGGGAAGATGCCCTTTCACCCCTGAGAGTGCCTAAAAATGTTTAATTTCGCACATTTCTTGTTAGATTAGGCCAATTTTCACTAAAAATTGCACATTTTAGGGAGTTTTGGCAGGATCTTTCATTCAAACGAAATTGGCATAAAACTCCAAAATATTTGCAATTATAATTAGTGGCCAAAAAAGGGTGATTTAACATCAAATGTACAAGTTTAACATGAAGCGGTTTATCATCCAGAGCATTTTGACACCTTTTTTTTAAACACTCTGGATTTTCTTTTAGATATGCCATAGTGCATTAAGATATTGTAGGAAGACTAAATTTAAGGTAGAGTTAAGTCAACTCTGCCAATTAGCATATCTCGGATTTACATATAGGATGTAAAAACAATACCACAACCTTCTTTAAATCATTGGTTGAAAAATGGGGGGGGGGGGGGGAGAAGTGAAAAATACCCTCGCGTTGGTTAAAATAATATAAAAACTGTTTTATTTGAAGTCAAACAAAGTTATGTCTGACTCATATGAATAACCAAAACCTAAATTAAATGTAATTGTAATCAAATGAAAATTAAGTAAGTGGCAAATGTTTTAACAATTCTATAAGCATCAATTATTAAATGACTCCACCAATCAACACCTCACATTTACATAAAGGTCTAGAACAATATCCACAACCTTCTTTAAAATATTGGTTGAAAATAGGGGGGGAGGGGGTGAAAAATACCTCACATTGGTTAAAATAATATGAAAACGCTTAGAACTGTTTTATCTGAAGTCGAACGAAGTCAGTCAGATACATATGAATAACCAATACCTACTGCACATTAATGTATTGTAATCAAATGAAAATTATGGAAAGTGGCAAATGTTTTAACTATTCTATAAGCATCAATATTAAATGACTCCACCAATCAACTCAAACTTACATAAAGGTTCTCGGAACAATATCCACAACCTTCTTTGAAACATTGGTTGAAAAAAAGGGGGGGGGGTGAAAAATACCCTTGTGTAAAAATAATTTATTATGAAAAAGCTCAGAACTGTTTTATCAGATTTCCAAACAAAGTTAGGTCAGATACATATGAATAACCAATACCTACAATAATGTAATTGTAATCAAATGATAATTATGGAAAGTGGTATATGTTTTAACCACTCTACAAGCATCAATATTAAATGACTGAGTGGTTATTTTCCAACCATAATAAATGAAAGAACACAATTCTGGAAAATAAATAACACACCCTTAACCAGGTTCATGAGGTGCCGCTCTGTGTGAGAACCTAATATAAAAAAATGTAGGATTTCGCAAATTTTATACAAAATAAGAATTCAAACGACTAGAGATAGTACAAAACGACAAAGTCGTTCAGTCATGTGTCACTACACATCCATGCATGGTTATCAAGTTCGCTTGGCTGGCCCTAGCAAGCCTTGTTGTGTGTCAGACACTGACAGCCAATTTAAACACTTCAAGCAATCTTTGAGTCAACTCTGTCACATGTTTAAGGTTTATTAAATCTTACCTTTTGTAAAATTTCACTCAAAACAACGTTTAGTGCAGCGAAAATGTTCAAAAACAGGTGAAAAACAACTCCCCAGCAGACGATTCCTATGAGGGCCGCACTTCAGTCCACTCATCAAAGAGAACCTTCTTTAAAAGGTGGGTTGTTGTCAAATACGATTATTTCCGGTTGAAGACGCTGTCATGCGGAAAAATTGACTTTAGTCGCACAAGCGTAAAAATGGCTTTTCAATAAAATTAATATTCACAATAGAGCAGGGACGGAGAAACCACAGGCATTAACTTCGGTAAATAGAAATCTTCATCGTATTGTAATTCTATTGATTCTCAACAAAATCTAATTTGTTTGCCAGCCTACAGATCCCTTATAATTTGGGGGCACATAATTGTCACAAGGCCTCTACGGTTCATCAAATCAAAATGATTTTGATAGGCCTATAGGCTAATTTTTAGTGCTCTATAGGCCTATTAAAATTGTTTTTCGAAAAATATTCAAAATTCAAGTAAATGTCCTAAATTGGATATTGGTACACTGGTATTTTTTTCATTTTCGATTTACAATGGAAATTCCCAAGAAAGGCGATCAAATTTTCCAATTTCTCGAAATTTTCTGATAAGGGCGTGTTTAAAGAACAAGGGGCAGGGGAGTATCTATGTGACGCGCATTCCCCCACCCCCAAGAAAAGCTTGCTCTCCCCAGTCTCCCCAAATGAAATATCTGATAAAAAAATCACGCTCAAAAACACCTCTATCACCGTTCTCGATCGGGTGCTCCACCTCATTCACCTTTGCTCCCCTCCCACACCCACCCCCATTAGTACCACCATTTCAAGACTCCTAGATATGCCATTGTTTAGGGGTTGGGGAACATGAACTCATCAAACTGGTTTTGGTGCTGAAAAATATAAAAAATAGTTCTGGATGTTTTAGCAATGAAACCTAATTTAATCAATCGATCCGATCGATGACAAAGATTGAAATCTATAATAAAAATATTATTATATTCTTTAATTAATCGATGGATCAATCAAAATAATAGAATTGCAGTAGTAATTGAATCCAGAACTTGTAGCGAAAGGTCACTCTCCCAGCTCTTCAACCACATAGAATATTCGGTAAGTCAACCATGAAATCGTTTCCCGAGCTTCCCAAACCACTCTCGAACCAAATCTTCGATTGGCAATTTCGCCAACTGTGCAAACCAAAATAAAATTGTTTAAAAAAATATAGGCCTATTTTGAAATGTCATATTAGAAAATTGCAACTGGAGAATAAAGCAAACGAACTGAATACGGTTATTGAGACTTTCATTCTCATGGTGTTTTATTAAAAAAAAACAATTACAATTGATAAAAGTATATAAAATTGCCGTTTGTCTAATAGTTTCGTAGTTAAAACTAAATTGACCAACAAGCAGATATACCTAAAAAAAATGTGTATATAGTTTCACAACACAATCTGGATCAAGAACCGCCAAATACAGTAACATATAGGCCTAAATAAACTATTATTTTGTTTAAACAGTCACCAATGGTTCAATATCAATCGATCATCAATAAATCAATCGATTGATAAAAAATATTTTCTATAATAATTGAATAAGGTCCATCGTGTAACAGTCAACCGAAATTCATCAAATAATTTAACAATCAATCAATAAAACATAATTTACAAGTCTGAATCATTTTCAAATTGGCAAGCGATGATGCTTAGTACTCAGATTTTTTTAAAATAATAATATAGGCCTACCCTTATAATATTATATTAGGCCCCGTGCATATTGAAGACACATGAGCTGAAGTGTACACGTGGGTGCCGCCAGGATTTTCCCGACGGGGTCCGATGTCCCCGACGGGTGAAATGGCCGATTTTCTCGACGAGAGTGTAAGTGGGCGTGGTAGGGCGTTTTTCCATATCTTTTTCTGAAGTAGTCCATGTGGCGAATCCTTCGAAACTTACAATTTAGGAGTTTCAAAGTCTAATCGATTTTAGAGTATATCAAATAATTATTTAATCTATTTTTGAGTATTATTATTATTATTATTATTATTATTATTATTATTATTATTATTATTATTATTATTATTATTATTATTATTATTATCATCATCATTAGCCATTCTTTACACAATAATATATAATTTTTTTTCTCCCTGACGACTTTGTTTTTCTCCCAGACCAAAGGGGGAAGGGAGGTCGGTCTAAAGTTCAGCCTTACCCGACGGGAACAAATTGTGTCTGCCAAATTGAGGCTGAAGCAGCTCAACGTGGTCTCACCTTTATGGAAAATAGTTCCACTCATAACACATAAACATATAAACCTGTTTGTGGCATGAAGGGGTGTCCGATCATTATGTAATCGAACCGGCCCTTCCGAGCAATGTATCCGATAGGTTTGTAACTTGAGTGATCGGAAACTATAATTTCTCAACCTAGGCATATCGAGTGAAGTTGCTGAGACCAATAATATAAAGTGCACGAAAGCCGAGAAGTGGAAATTTAAATGGACAAGGAAGACGGATGTGAATATGATGGTATAGAACATTTGAACAAAGAAAATAACAGAGAACGTACAGTATCACGGGGCTAGCGTCTAGTTCTGGCGGCGCGGACAGACTTTAACCCCTTGTATTTGCTTGTTTTACCCATTCCTGTATTTGGAATTATTTCTTATGAATAAATTGTATTTAAAATATAAACGCCAAATAAAATACTTTTATGTATTAAAAACAATTGAGTGTGTCAACGGAGGAGTAAAAACTATTGAAGGATCTGCTTGCAACATTTAGACAACACTCATGTGGCGTCGCAGAGGTCTTTCAATTTCCGGTGGGGGGCCAGGGAATTGCAAGGTCCCGATTAGACAGGGGAAACCCTTGCTGGCGTCGAGGGGAACCCATGATGGAAAAAGGGAACCAGCCAACTATGTTATTTACTTATTTGTTCAACAATATTTAACGAGTGAGCTCTACATGAGCCAAGTGGTATACAAAGACAAGTAATTATGTAGGTAAATATAAAAATACAAAAGAAAAATATAAAATCTATATAAATTAAGGTACATAAGCACAATAATCAATTAATACAAAATTCTAAAATGCAATAAACAACTTGAAACAACATGAAAAACAAATTTTAAAAAAGCTAGGCAAGAAGGTGCTTTCTTAAATAATCTTTAATCTGAGATTTAAAACTGCAATATTCGAAGAAACGCACATATCATGAACACAAGTGATGAATTGTTATGAGCCTGTATATAGAGTACTATTCCAAATTGATGGGATACGATTGGAGCGAGCGGAGGAAACGAAAGAGTAGATTTATCGAATTTGGTTTATTGAAAAGTAATTCAGTAAATGAAAAGGCAATTAAGATGAAATCAAATAGCGCTATTAAGTGTGACAATTTGGGATTCGAAGGATTGAAGAAGGAAAAACCATTGGTAATCAAGATTCAGTGACGGCGTCAATCATATCACAAATATAATATACAATCATAAACGAAATCAACTACTGTATAAAACGAAAAATAAGCTCCCATGAGCGGGAGCGTGTCTTCAGTTGCTTTTTTTTTTTTTTTTTTTTTTTTTTTTTTTTTTTTTTTTTTTTTATTTTTATAAGGTTTTTTTTTTTTTTTATATAATTTTTAATATTTTTTTGTG